ATGTGACCTTACTACCACCACCACAACTACTACTACTACATTCACCTTGCTGGCAGTTCTGTCCAGTCCATCCAGGTGAGCAGGTACATTTGTATCCGCCATCTTGGTTCACACAGCGTCCATGCTGGCAGGGGTTCTTGTTGCACTCATCTATATCTGTGTGTGAGAAAAAAAATCCAAAATCGTCCATGATCCAAGCCATACCATCTGAATTCAAAACCTAAGGGAAAATAATGAAAATACAGTCCCATGCTGACTACCACAATTTTCAACCACCATCACAACAGAACTGACCTTTCTTGCAGTTCTGTCCAGTCCATCCAGGTGAGCAGGTACATTTGTATCCACCATCTTTGTTCACACAGCGTCCATGTTGGCAGGGGTTTTTGTTGCACTCATCTATATCTGTGTGAGAGACAGAAAATTAAAAAATCGTTCCAGCCATACCACCTAATATATATAAATTGAGGGCTTAAAAAGCAGAAAGAAAAAAGTACATAGACATACATTTTGTGTATGTGTGACCTTACTGCCACAACCACAACAACAACTACTACATTCACCTTGCTGACAGTTCTGTCCAGTCCACCCAGGTGAGCAGGTACATTTGTATCCACCATCTTTGTTCACACAGCGTCCATGTTGGCAGGGTTTCTTGTTGCACTCATCTATATCTGTGAGAGTAAAACAGAAATCAAAAATCGTCCCAGCCATAACACATAAACTGAGGGCTTAATAAGCAGAAAGGAAAAAAAGTAAAAGTACGTAAACATACCTTTTGTGTATATGTGACCTTACTACCACCACCACAACTACTACTACTACATTCACCTTGCTGGCAGTTCTGTCCAGTCCATCCAGGTGAGCAGGTACATTTGTATCCGCCATCTTTGTTCAGACAGCGTCCATTTTGGCAAAGGTTGTTGATGCACTCATCTATATCTGTATGAGAAAAAAAAGATCCAAAATCGTCTATGATCCAAGTTATACCATCTGAATTCAAAACCTAAGGGAAAATAATGAAAATACAGTCCCATGCTCACTACCACAATCGTTAACCACCACCACAACAAAACTGACCTTTCTGGCAGTTCTGTCCAGTCCATCCAGGCAAGCAGGTGCATTTGTATCCGCCATCTTTGTTCAGACAGGTTCCATGTCGGCAAGGGGTTTTCGCACACTCATTCAGGTCTTGATGAAGAAATAAATAAAGCAGAAGTACTCAGTTCACAGTTCAAAAGTGTTTTCACAGAGGAAGACACCACAGATATGCCATCTCTAGGTCATCCCTGTACTCCTCCAATGGAACATATAGTAGTTTCTACTGATGGTGTCGAAAAAATGCTTCAAGGTCTCAATCCCTCTAAAGCATCCGGACCAGACCAAATACCACCGTGGTTCCTCAAGTTGACAGCTAGTGAAATCGCGCCTGTTCTAACCAATATTTTCCAACACTCGCTAAACACTGCAGAAATCCCTAAAGATTGGAGGGATGCAAATATATGCGCCATCTTTAAAAAAGGAGATAGAGCGGTCCCCAGCAACTACAGACCTGTTTCACTGACCTGCATATCCTGCAAACTACTTGAACATATCATCCATAGCCAAATCATGAAGCACCTAGAAAGTTACAGTATATTAACGGATTACCAGCATGGATTCAGAGCCAAACGATCCACAGAAACACAGCTTATACTAACAGTCCATGACATAGCTGGCGCACTAAACAGTAAACGGCAGGTAGATTTAGCAATACTTGATTTCACTAAAGCCTTTGATAAAGTCCCCCATGGCAGGCTCATCTCAAAACTGGAGTATTATGGAATCCAAGGCCCTACGCTGAATTGGTTAAAGGCTTTCCTGACCAACAGGGAGCAAACAGTAGTGGTTGAAGGGAAGGCGTCGGCTCCAGTTAAAGTAGCGTCTGGGGTCCCTCAAGGAACCGTCCTGGGGCCATTGCTCTTTCTCTTGTATATAAATGACCTACCAGATCAGCTTGACTCAAATGTGAGGTTATTTGCCGATGACTGTCTATTGTATGTAGAGCTTTCTACACAGACCGACTCACAACTTCTCCAAAAAGACCTGAACACCCTGGAAGAATGGCAAAGCAAATGGCTCATGCAGTTTAATCCCGAAAAATGCTACATTATGCACATAACAAACAAACGAACACCACATGCAACTAGCTACCAGTTTTGTGGTCAGGCTTTAGCAACCACAAAAATCCATCCGTATCTGGGCGTCACGCTGACAAGCGGACTGAAGTGGGGTGCACATGTTAATAATATCACAACTAAGGCGAAACAGACATTGGGAGTGATTAAACGTAATCTGTGGGCATGTCCAACGAGAGTAAAATCACTTGCATACACGTCACTTGTAAGACCGAACCTAGAATACGCTGCGACAGTATGGGATCCATATACAAAGAAAGACAAAGACAAATTGGAAAGGGTACAGAATCAAGCTGCAAGATTCTGTATGAACAACTATGTAAGAGGTGCTAGTGTCACGGAAATGAAAAGAAACCTACAGTGGACCTCACTTGAAGACAGAAGAAAGATGTCTAGACTATGCATGATGTACAAAATGACTAATAAACTGGTGGATGTCCCAACTACTAAGTACCTAATACCAGCCCAGAAGAGAACAAGAAATAGCCACGCATTCAAGTACCAGAGTTATCAACCAAGGATTGAGGTGTTCAAGAATTCATTCTTTCCTAGAACTATCGCAGAGTGGAACTCACTGTCACCAAGTACAGTAGGGACACTGTCAATAGATAGCTTTAAACAATGTCTAGAGCTAGAAGTTCAAGGGTTAGGTGTAACAAGTCGATCGGTGTAATATAGCCAGCTGCCGCCGCGCCGCGTGCCTGCGAAGCTGGTGTGTTACGCCGAAAGGCGGTTATACCGGCTATACAGATACAGATACAGATACAGAAATGACCAAAAAATGTATTTTGATTTGATTTATTGAGATTGCAAACAAATACAATAATCGTGGGCCAAAGGCAGCGGGGGCTGGTGTTGGGGATGATGAAGGATTACCACATAGCAATACCTAGCCATGGGAACATAATTCTAAATGCTAAAGGGCGTCTAAAAATCAAACTGAATTCTTTTTTCTTAAATTACAGTACATCACATTTACAAATACTAGAAAGGTCTATGGATGGGTGAATGCAGCATAGTTTACTCCATTTCCCTTCCATAAAAAATGGATTGTTGACAAATCACACACTGTGCCAAGTTATGCCAGTCTGAAAAACAATATATTCCATCCACATCTATGGCATGTAGGAAAATATCGTAATGCCTAGTTATATACGTGGACATGGAATTGATGTGTATAGAAAGAAATGTTTGGCGACGTCTCAGGGAGGAGCCTAGTGGTACAGTATTGTGTGCAGTTTGCAAGAATTCTAGGAATGGTACAAGCATTTTGTCGACAGGAATGGAATGTCCACAGGCATGTCTCTGACCCACATCTATGCCCACATTCCTGGATACCTTTGGGAAGACCTCTCTGCCCCAGATGGCCCTACTTTCTGTGACCCTGGGGCTCGTTCACTATACACTCAGGGGAGGAGTGCACTGTATCTGTCTAGACTTAACAGGTACCAAGTCTTCCTCAAAATCATGAAACGATGACAATGCCATGCAAGCAATAACCCTAACAGCAACCACCGTCGCCATGGCAATGTATGTTTTCATTGCCAGTCTTGTTGTTATATTTTGCCATTTAAGGTAGGGGTATCCGGGATCTCATATCGGAGTACTGTGACATTACTTACCCGTGGTTGACAGAGATGTGACGGTTGTTGATAAGGCCAGGACGGTCGCATTGCTGTTTGTAAATGGCAGATATGTTGGGGTCAAGTTGACAAAGTCGAATGCCGGGTTGTTTTCTCGGTAGAACTCCGGCTGCCATGGCGTACTGAATGACCCCTGAATCGGGTGCAGGACCATCGTGCCATTTTGCTGAAGCGCCATCTACAAAAAGGAACTTTAAAAAATGAACACAAGGTGCCTAATACATTCCACCTAAAGGCGGTGTACATATTTGAATTGGCTAACTGTAAGCAGCAAACATATAAACTTGTCATGTTGCCTTTGGTAGTGCATCAATCTGGAAGTCAATGAGAGTGCCCAACTCCTTTTGTAGCTAATGTAGAATATGTAAAACTGTGTAAAACATTAATATAAACACAGGGTCATACTGAAAATATTTACGTCAAAAATGGTGTCCTAACTTAATCAAACTACAGTGATACAGTGAGTTTCTGTAAACACTATTGATTGATTGATTGATTGATTGATTGATTGATTGATTGATTGATTGATTGATACATACCATGCAGATTGTGTATCAGAAAAAAATGTACGAGTATTTGATTACGAATATCTTTAAACAATTTCAAAAATCATTTTTCTACTTTCTCGTTCATGTTTTTCTGATGCACAAAGGGGTATTGTATCAACAGCACCCGGCTCAGTTTAATCAAAGTCAAAGACTACACTTCTTTTTACTTGTGCCTGTAATCAAGACTAGTACTTCTTAGCGTACCTGCCCACCGTTGGTGACATGAGTTGCCAGGATGACAGAGGTGACAGCTAATGCTACAACCAGAAGTCCACAACCCAGTGCAAGCCAGCACACTCTGCTGGATTTCCATTTATTCCATATTCCAACGACAAGCCCTAACACATAGAATATCTATTATTGCATGCATGTATTGTTTTACGTTCAAGGGGTATTTCATCAGCAATTTATGATTTTATACTAATTATATGTCATTAAGAATATCAGAAAATATAAAAAAGGCTATGCCCGTTTGATGTGATCCCGAAGGACAAACCCTCTAAAGTATAAGCTTCAAAGCAATGAGGCAATACCAGTATAACGTATGAGAAATTATTATACATAGTGTACTGTATAAACAAACTCAGGATAGGATTTGTTTTTAAAGTAAAAATTTGGAAAAGACTACTGATTTTTCAACGAATGAGGATTAGAAATAACTAAGATTTTGATTTGAATATACATGGGTAAACAAAAAACATGAAACTAGATATTTAAAGCAAAAAAATGACAACAATCAGGACCTTTTATACTATTAGTGCAAAACACGTATTTCTTGAGCTAATTTCTTGCGATTTGAAAATTAGAATTGAAAACAAATTTAAAGAAAAATTGTGACTTAAACAAAGTATTTGATAATATGAATTAGAAATGTTACTAAAAATCTACCCAATTCCTAAATTCGCAGTTTTCTTGTGTATATTAATTTCTTTTCGTTGATTTACTATTTATAGGAAGTTAAGATGTCATTTGTGACAAAAATTTCAGATCAGGGTCATAAAAGAGAGTATATTGGGGTAAATAATGAGTTCAACACGATTTTCACACATGCTTTTCCACTGTGTTTTGTAGCAAGATAAACACAAGGAGTTTTACCAAACATTAAATATTGACTTGAAACGCATTATTAACGTGATTTAGAATCACGTCCCGTCAATATTAAGATTTTTGACAAAAGGTAAAAAAAATATATTTGACAATGTAGTGACAATGTTGATTTGTTTAGTTCACATTGTTTTCTTAATTAAAGTAAACATTGCATCTCTTAATTATGGGATTGTATTGAATAATGATGATGTAACGTACCTTTAGCCCGGTGTGCAAAGCTTTCTTCCTCGGGATCTTTGTACCCGTAAACATCCTCTGGTTTGTCGTAGTCGTTCGAGTAATTATTTTCTTCAAACCCCTTGTAAGTGTGGGCATCCTCTTGCTCTTTGTCACCCTCGCTAACCTCCTCTGGTGTCTCGTAGTCGTCCGAGTAATGCTTTTCTTCAAACCCCTTGTAAGTGTGGGCATCCTCTGGATCTTCGTACCCGTCAACATCTTCTGGTTTCTCGTAGTCGCGGTAGTAATGGTCTCCCTCAAACCCCTTGCTGACCTCCTCAGCCTCTTTGTACCCGTAAGTATCTCCTGATTCCTGCCCCGAATACACCACTACGTGATCTCCCACGTGAAGGTATCGAGGCACGGCCTCGACAGGTTGTAGGTCGGTGTAGTTGCTAGTAGCGATGTCGTACGAGCCAGCGGCCGCCTCTTTTCCGATGATCGTCTGGTTGTAGGCTTGCTTTCCACTATTGACAGCCTTCCTTTGGTTTTTGTTATCTCCCCCAATGCTTTTTTCAGGGATGGAGGGCAACTTTTCTTTTACGTGCTTGATATTTTTACCACGTGTGGCAGCTGAGGTGTATATGTTGGGGACAGAGGGTTGAGGGAGGGTTGCAGCCTTGCTTTGCATTTTGGAATCTCCCCCATTTCCCTTTTCAGGGACAGAGGGCACCTTTTGTTTGAGCGTGTTTTGGCTTGGTTTCTCTTCCTCCAGCGATGGGGTTGTATCAGTTGTCGCCATCCCTACGTTATCAAAAGGGGGTCCATAATCAGAACTGTTTGCTGCTTGCAAAGGTCAACACACAAGCACAAACTACATATTATTCAAAATAAGATCCATCAATAGCTTGTTGAGTTATACTGTTAAAGCACACACGCACACAGACATGCGAGCACGCACGCACGCACACACGCACACACACATAAACACACACACAAAAAAAAGATACACACACGCAAACATACGCACGCGCACGCACACGCACACACATAAACACACACACACATAAACACACACACACACAAAGATACACACACGCAAACACACGCACGCACACACACACACACACACACACACACACACAAACAAACACACACACAAACACACACACACACACATAAACAGACAAACGCGCGCGCAACACCTAGTGCGCTCTCTACACCAGTAGCCTTTCCAGTATACCGCAATTGGGGTGGATTCTCCTCGGGGCTGCAAGAGCTCTTCACCGCCCGACTCAGCTAGGTTCACCGTCAGCTAGGTTCACCGGTATTTTTTTTTTTACGACTGGATTTTAATCAGTCCCATCGATCCCCTCTACCTCCTGGCGTACACAAAATTCATATAGTCGTAAAGCCTAGGGGCCTGGCCCTGGTGTTTAAAAAACCGATGGATTTTTTTTGGGGGGGGGGGGAGAAACCCTTGTCCGCTACCAGAATTTGTTGCCGCCCAAGCCCTTTATCAAACACGCCAGTAGTGGGAACGTTAGAACCAAGGTGTCAACTCTGGGTTAAATTATTAGCGGGGCGAATGGCCTCTCAGGCCGAAGTTTTTCTCACTCACCCACGGTGGCGGTAGGGTCTGGCACCCTGGCTAAGCGGTGCGACACTCCAAAGGGGTGGCTGGTTGAGCTCGACGGGGAAAAACTATTAGAGCTGGCCGCGAAGACAGCCTGCCGCAAACACGATAAACTTAAACCAGACTATACAGCCAGCTATCTGTCTCTGTGACACAGAACCACAGCTACAAGACATCACGTAAGCGAGATTACCTACAGACAGACGATATGAAGCAAACAAAAAAAAGGTCTGAAAACGTGTACATGTACAGATTAGTCTCATTCTGGGAAAGTCTACGGCAACATGTTAAATCTGCACACAGAAGGCAATTTTCAGCAGACTTCGCTTGTACGTGTTAGCGTGTAAATATTTCTATTTTCTAAGCTGCCATGTGTTGTGTTTTTTTAACAAAATCTCCGCCAGGAAGAATAGCTTTGTAGACAAGTGTGTATGATGTTAATGGAGAGATAAATTCATCGACGTCCTTGAGTGTTCAGGCATTTCAGGGTAAGGACACACCCTTCCACGGGACAAAAAAGGGCGGTAACAAATTCACGTCATTTGGCCTAAAACGAAATCAAGGAAATTTGGAATAATATCTAATCAATAGACTAGAAGAGGAAGAACCAAAGTAACAGTCGATCGTTGTCGAGGTCAAAAAAAGAAGATGTAGACTAGGTTTGCTCGGCCGCTTTTAGCTTCTACCCCGCCGGGCCAATGAGCCCTACCCGATGATTTTTGCCCGAGAAAAAAAATCTCGTCAGCTAACTGTAGCTCTGGGGGAGACTAGTGGCTGGATTTAAGAAAAGGAAGACTAAAAAAATATCAGACAAAACAACCTATATTATGAAATACGATAACTAGGCATAGAAATACCTTAGTTTGTTGACTGACAACGCTTGTAAGAGAACATCTCGAAATGGTGGATGTCTGCGTGGCTGTTGTGATTTTTATGTTATAACCAATGGTACAGATGTAACATATAAGCTCTCACACAGACTAATGTCTATTGCGTGGCAGTGAAAAACGCAACCAGACTAATCATATGAAATAATTATACACCCTCTGCGAGTCGGTCTTACAAAGACTATGACACCCACGCCGATTTTATTTCATATCATTTTATTGACTCTTATCAAAGAAACTTAGCTCTCGATCTATGCCCAAATAAGGATCGCGTGAGGGCTGAATCCTGAGAAAAAAGGCCTCCAAAGCACATTTGTTTATTGTTTATTTAACCAGAGAAACATATCGCAATGGAGGGCGATTTTCAATGCACCCTTGGGGGCAATCCCCGAACACAATAAAATAATAATTAACATATAACATGTTGCGCACTTTCACACAGTAGATAGACTCCCTCTACAATTAAATAAACCTACATGTAGTAATGAATACATGACATGTTTTGTCGCAATAAAAGTATGATAAACTGGAAGGGGAAATACATAAAATGATCCTTAGGTCCGGTGTCACAGCGATCTCACCCCCGACGACCCCCCCCCCCAGAACCCCTATTTAATTAGTCTATTTAGCCTCTTTTACACTGTACCACAGATATGGCAGGTACACAAATTTGATTCACAATTCTAACTATATTATTACGTGTTAGCATAGTAGAGCGAACCCCTCAAAACCCTCACCAAACAACCTCGCGTGGTGTTTTGTTAAAAATCCGATTTAAAACCGTAAAGAAACTATCTATTTGCGTGCATTGGTTTTTATTCGGTTATCATTTAGCAGTTTGTAAAAGCCTAGTATGAACGGGGTCTAAAAATTGCAACCCATAGAGCGCTCTGGTTGAAAACCTTGGCGGGAGGACACGCTCTTAGCGCCGTAGACATCGGTGAGCGACGGCGGTCTGTTTACCAGTCTACAACCTTGCCCGTTTAAATGTACAGTGTTTACCTTTTCACATACCCAGGATGCTTAGCGCCAAGGCGGTCGGTATGAGATGTACTGTTATACAGCTCTTTTCTCTCTCTCTCTGTGTGTGTGTGTGTGTGTGTGTGTGTGTGTGTGTGTGTGTGTGTGTGTGTGTCTGTGTGTGTGTGTGTGTGTTTGTGTGTGTGTGTGGTGTTTGGACATTGTGTTCAAAATTAGCTAACTTACGATGACGGGATGAATTTGACAACAAATAGTATGTAATCTTCTTGTGCTTTAGTTGTAAGCAATGAACTGTAACATGTGGTTTACAATATTACTCTCTACAGTGGTAACGTTATATCGTCTGTCAATAGAAAAGGAGGTACACCTGTGGACGTTATAGTATGGAAATATTGAGGCATTCATTATTTTAGATTCTATAAAAAAATAACGGCTCACAGTGGCCAATGTGAAGATGTTGACACTTTGGAGCATCTAATCCGTAGGGTGTTTTTGGCACCCAGTTAGACAGTATCAGGTGGGGAAGTCGTGTAAAGTGCCGTTCTCAAGGGCACAACGTCGGGCCACGGTGAGTATCGAACCCGGAACCTCTCGGTTCCGAGCCCAACGGTCTAACCGCTGCGCCACCGACGCTACTTAGATTCTATCATCGAATGAAGACGTTTCAAAGAAACGCATAATTCTAGCCCCCTGGCGCTATGCATCATGGGAAAGTAAAAAAAGGTGTATTAACCTGTTTCCTCAGGCAGAAGAGTCTATGTAGTCGTTTTGCCCGGGGGCTTCACAGTATCGCGACAATCTCCTGACATGTTCTGTTGTGTTCACTGACCTTTTAAATAGGCGACGCGTCTACCAAGAAAGGCGCACCCAACATTTTCAGCCAGACGCTGTATTTGATTTTTGGTGAGAGGTTCCGGTCATCGTTGTTTCAAAGGTAAACCTAACATTACTTGATTTTCTTTCGAATAAGATATCTACCTTCTTTTCTTTACAGTTTTTGACAACGTAGAATAAATTTTCAGGCAATGAACTAGACTGACATTATCTGAACACAGTCAAGTTGTAAACGTAAGATTTTCTGTGGTAGAATTTTCAGCGTGGCTATGACATAGCCGACTGTTTGCCTACGACAACCGTTTTCTGTCGCAGGACAGATTTATTTTGTACGACACATATACGATTGCTCTAAATTCGTTGTCGTGTATGTATCGCACGACAAATTTGACAAAGATCCTTGTAAACAACAGGCCTATTGTTTGGCATTGCAAATTGACCTCTTCGACTGTTTGGCTAATAAATTCTGGATGTAAATCCAACTCTGTGAGGTCAATTTTGTGATAATCGCATTGTTTGTAAACCCCTTAGACATCAAAAATCATGAAAGAGAAGACTGTTGTTGGTAAATTGCCTAAATAGTCTTAAGACGTATCGGGCACGTACACAAAGCGTGAACAAAGCTCTGTGACCTCTACATGCTGCAGTGTCATTTGGGGAGGGGTCTTTAAAGTATAATAGGTGTTCAACTGCCATGTCGCTTGGTGGTGAAAGGATATTGTTGTCATGATGTTCTGTTATTGTTTAAATCTTAACTGTTTAGACTTCGATTATTCGTTATAAAATGACCCATTTTTGTGGATTGCTTGCCCCCCCCCCCCAATCTTTGTATTATATCGTCTATCTATGTCAGTCATAAGGTCTTTAATTATGTATTATGTTATGTCGCCATTGTGTTGGGGCCATTAGAAGGGGGTTTAACTATGCTAATATACAGGTGAGACATTTTAAACGCTGTAAATCCCCATATAGTACCCCTTGGATAAGCTCTATATCCACTACACCCGCATGTTAGTAGGCCAGAGATCATGACAACATGTATATACATAATGATGATAAAATATATGGAGATAAGAGATATAACCTAAATGTACAATTTTTATATTCCACTAGCTATCCTAAGATAGACAAATAAGAAATTGAGGCCATTTGCTTTTGAACAGCTAAAGATCAGAAGTGTGTATAGCCTAGGGAATACACTAAATATGATTTGGTAGATTTATTAACATATTCACTGATCCATTGTATTGTCATATATTTATGTAGTAATATATTGATCATCTTAACATGGAACATCTAAAATTATGCACCAAATCATTCTAAATATTGTTTCCTACCAAATATATTGTACCTGAGTCTCTTGACCGACATTTTTTTTTGGCTACACCCCCTTTGTTTCTTCGTTTTTCTTTTTTGGAATATTTAAGGAACAGTATGGGAATTTCTGTTAAGTCCCTTACAAGTTTACAGTTCTACATAGAATAAATCGTAGTGTGTGCCCATAATATACACCCCCAACTCTTCCTTCCATTATTTAGACTCTAAAAAAAACATAAATCAGAAATGGCGAAAAGAAACGGACACGGACCATATACCAACTCTCATTAGATATTTACTAAAACTTTAAATGATGTAAACTGTATAAACTGTAACACATGAAATAGGCTTGACTAACTTGAGACTTACTATTTGCGGTATACATGCATATCTACTATACATTCAAGTATTCTGAATGTGTACCTTGTAGCGACAACTCTCGTAATTCCAGGAGGTACCCTAAGACGTCTTTGGTGGTTAAAAATGGTGGATTTTAGAAGATCTAAATTATGCAGCACTAGTTATTGCTAAAGTCTACACACTTACGATATCCAGGTGTTCACGAAATTCTTCAGAAGGCTTTGATAACACTGTTGTTTAATGTTTTGGTTTGCAAGTGTTACGAAGGGTCTACAATTCAGCGCTAACTCTGGTAACACCGTATTGCGGACATATTTAGGACTGTTAGGTTTTAAACCACTCACACCGGGATGGGCCCCTGCTCTTTTAATAAATGTAAAATGTGGTGGATTTTTTTACGTGTTCGAGGTATAAAAACCTTTACACGAGAGCATTCTTGGGACAGTAGTCTTAAATCTAGCTCTTTTGTCGCGGATTAGATTCTTACAGGTGGTTGTGAATCGGTTCTGTCCCAGCAAGCTGGAAAATTCTACGTCTAAGGCATCGAAATCGTATACTAGTAATTGGTTCATGTAGTTCTAACATAAAAAAAATCACGCTACAAACGCTACAAACACACTGAAATGAACTGGGAATACAATTTAGTAATAGAAAGTTTACAATTGTCTAAAATGGTGAACACGCCGTAAAAAAATTAACAACGCTAGGTAGACATTTCACCCGAGTGAAGTGGTGATATTTGTGTTATGCGCCTCTCCCATGGGCGCAGCATCGGGGCCGGGCAGGGTTTTGAACTTGACACAATGCCAACCAACGTCAAGGGGATGTGGAACAACAAAACAAAGATTATTCGTTAGCCTGGGTACCAGACCCGGGGGCCTGGACTACAAAAAATATCTTCTTTATCACTTAGGCCACACTCAACTGATTCAATTTTATGGATGACATCACGAAACAAAGATTATTCGTTAGCCTTGGTACCAGACCCTGGCGATTGGATTAAAAAAAAATCTTTATCACTTATAGGCCACACTGATTCAATTTTATTTATGACATCCGCGCGCGCTTTGATTTTCGCCTGAAAAAAAAAGAAAAAAATTACGTCCTCCGAGGCTTTTGCCATCCTCCGTAGTCCAAGGTGGCCACCGACAATAGCAACCATGATGCCGAAGCTTCACGACTCAAGGCATCAGTAAGATTCATACGCGCAGCGCCGATTCATAAATTTCGCAAAAGGCCAGCAAGTGCCTGCTTGTCGTAAAAGTCGCTATGTACTACCAAAAATTCACAATACCAACATTTTATTCCTGTGGTTTAGCAGCATTTCTAGTTTTAGCCGGGTTTTTTATTCGCCCGCGTGCACTGGTTTAGGGGTCTTCAGAGGATGTCATCCATAGAATTAATGTGGCCTTATCCCGTCGACTGGTTCCCTATTAAAGGCTGCCTAACACGTCCAGGTCTCAGAGTTGACACCCTTTTCTTAAATTATCTATCGCGAGAGATGCTAGATGCTATGATTTAGACCTCGGGTGCCAACTCTGGGATCTTCGGGACGTGTGGCTTCTCCCGGCCGAAGGGTGTATCATGTCGCCCCGGTGTCTGACATCTAAGCTAACTACCCGTCTGCTACTGAGGTCTTTATGTATGTGTAAGTTCCCGCCTTCGGGGCAAATACCAGACGGGTGAGTTAAACTGTCCACACCTGGTCTTCACAAGGTCTACTTTGTATACATTATATAGACGTTTAAGAACATCAGTTTCTTACAAAACAAGGTCCATCTGTTAAGTTTTTAATATAGTGGTATAACACAGTAGTTTTACTTTGTTAGGAATAAGTAGATCTAAGTCAACACAACCGTTCCTGGGAGAGTTTTTAGGTGTGGCTCTTTTAAACCAAGCACGCATCTAATGAAGGTGTCATCCTTCAAGGCCCTGCGCCCCCTCGCGATAACGTACATAACTACAAGACAACTTGCTGGTTGCAAAGGGACAATTGCAGATAAGGCGCGTATGTCCGAAAACGTAGTCATTTCAGTTTGGGACAAATCTGCAATGTAATAAAAAGCCGCCCGGGGCATTGACACCATTTCCATCTTGTCCAGCAGGTACATTACTGAACGACATTTCTACTTCTCATAAAAACAAAACGACCGACAGACAAATAACTAATTACTACCTACTCGGTGAAAGACGTAAACCGGGTTATGATTTCTTTAATTTAGTACATTCTTTTTTTGCAGTACATACCGGGAATAATAGGTGACGTCACGTAACATGGCGATTCTCCAGAACAGCTGCTGTTGCTGCAGTGTCCGCTTGGGGGCGCTTATCATCGGGGTCCTGTATGTGGTAAGAAACAATACCGGGCAATCCGTTATTAATATTCAGAAGTCAAGGATAATGCAGCTTGAAACAGTGGCTTTGTGAACCCAGGCTTAATACGTCTCTCTTTTTGTTACCTCAAACTTACATCTTCTCTATAACGTGACACACTGTGTTCTTTTACTAGTACTTTGAGTCAACTTTAGCCATTCTTGAACCTGCAATTAAAACCCTTTCTAGCTATTCTTAGCGTTGTAACATCAAATATTCTTTGGCTTCCTGACTAGCCTGGTATCCAGCCTTGTTAGCTTTAGTCCGCTACCCAAGATCCGCTCCCCGCCAACAAGAAATTGAAGATTTTAAACTTCTTGTTTTATTTACCGTTGTGAATTTCTCATTGATTTTGTGCACATGAAATGTTTCACGTTTTCACAGTCTGTTTTTCTCAAAGCCATTGAGATCATTTTGACGTCCTGTTTTCATGTTAGTCTGCGGTTACAGCATTTCTCCTCCTTTCCTATTGAGCTGCTGTATTTAGATAATTGAAGACACACAAACAAACATACATTGCTGTTATTTCTACAGATCATTCATATCATCGACTTGGGAGTGAAGTCAAGCAGTGTCGCTCTCGGTTGGAATGGTAAGTCGCATTATTTTTTTTTCAATTCTGATATAACCTAATAAAATATTATAACAACTAAAAAAAGTAGTAACCATGTGGCTTCTGTTTTGCTGTTGTTGTTTTTTTTTTCATTTTCAGTCTGTGGTTTATCTAAATTTAATGGTTCTGAAATGAATTCATTTGTATTTTTCCAGCCTATGGAACCGATGTGGCCTCGGTTGTTGTTGACGTCATCGCCATCATTCTGGGCCTGCTGCTCATCGTTGCTGTGTTGGGGGTGAGGAAAAATCAGAAATAATTTCTCTCTCGCTGTCTCTCTCTGCCTCTCTCTCTCTCTCTCTCTCTGTCTCCCTTCCTTCCTCTCTCGCTGTCTCTCTCTGTCCATCTCTCTCTTTCTGTCTCTCTTCCTTTCTCTCTCTCGCTGTCTCTCTCTGCCTCTCTCTCTCTTTCTGTCTCTCTTCCTTCCTCTCTCTCGCTGTCTCTCTCTGCCCATCTCTCTCTTTCTGTCTCTCTTCCTTTCTCTCTCTCGCTGTCTCTCTCTGCCTCTCTCTCTCTTTCTGTCTCTCTTCCTTTCTCTCGCTGTCTCCATCTCCCTCTCTCTCTCTCTCTCTCTCTCTCTCTCTCTCTCTCAGTGTGTGTGCTACTATAGTCGTGATTGAATCTTGCAGGATAAGCGTAAATCATTTTGGATAAGCTGGTGAAGTCTGCCATTTCTGACTGGTTTATCATTACACCCACAGAACATCATGGCCTTGCTGCGTGCCTGGGTGGCACTGGCCATCCTCATCCTGATCACCGAGCTCATCATCATCATCTGTTTCACCGCACTGACGCTGCAGGGGGTCTGGACCTGGGGGGTACGTGCCTTTTCATCCTCTGGGACGGCTCTGTAGCCTGGTATCCAGTCTGATCGTGGTCGGGGCCGAAAGAGCTCTGGCCCGCCCGCCTCACATAGGTTTCCCGGTGTGTATTTCACGAGAGATTGATTAGCCCTCCACGAACAGTCTATCAAGTTGGGGGGAAACCAAATCCCCAAGCATACTGTCTCTTATTAGCGTAACTCTCCTACCGGGACGGCCTGTTGCACTGGGCGGGCCCCCGAAGACACAACCTGCCTGAACACCCTAATACCCCCAATCACGTAAGACTGGATACCAGGCTAGGCTCTGTGGAACACACTACCACACCATCTAAAAACAGCCAGAACCCTAACAGCCTTCAAACAACTGTATGCACTTGACAATCATTGATATGCAAATTTAATCCTGATTTTAATCCTGATTCCATTGTATTATGTTCTACCTTGGTTCTACGTTATATGATGTTAAGGTTACAAAATTGTTTCTCTTATGCTATTTAAGTTACCTTGATTTTGTATTCAATTTGTAACCTGTGTAATTTGATACCTTTGTTAATCTTGAGTTCATTTTGTTAATGGATTTTGTTTGAGGTTTTCCCCCCAGGAACCTTTGAAAATCGCCATCAGGCGACATGTGTTCTCCTGGATAAATAAACAAACAAACAAACAAACAAATCGTCGTAAGATCGTATTTTCGACCCCCCCCCTTACATAAAAACTGAAAAGAAAAAGGATGTTTAGGCCACACCAATTTAATTTGTTGGTTCTCGGATTTTTTTCGAAAAAATATGAAGCGACAGGGCGAAAAAAAATAAAAATAAAAACAGGTCTAGGCATCCTATTATAGGCTTAAATGCTACAAAATGAGCCATGAAGTCAACGCAAAAGGCTGAGTTGAAATTTAAACATTGAATTTTGAACTTTTAATCAAACCACTGCAATGATAGGCGGGAAAACTGTAACAACTAGGAAGAAAAGGACTTTCCTCAACTGTTGGGGGGCAAAACATGAGCATTTTTCAGTTGATTCAGGATCAGAATCAATTTTTTTTTTTGCAAATCAGAAAAAAACGAAGAGGCGAATCCGAGTACCAACAAATTAGATTGGTGTGGCCTTTTTTCAAAGGTGTTCAACTTGGCTGTTGTTTGATTGTAGGCCGAGAAGTCGTTTTGGTTGGGTCCTGTCATCGGTGCCTGGGTCATCTACTACTTCATTTTCTACATCACGGTAGGTCTTCATTCATTCATTCATTCATCCATTCATTCAATTATCAAACCTTTATTCATTGTCTATATGCACCTTTTCATCCATTCACTCATTAAATCATTCATTCTCTCATTCATATAGTCCTCAATTCATTCATTCATTTCATTTCATTTTTATTTATTTACCCAGGGTAAAACATATCGCCGCAAGGGCGTTTTTCAATGTTCCCTGCGGACATATACATTTACAAAATATACTTATTAGCTTAAAATAACAAACAAGAAAACAAAGGTACAACGAAGCTTAATTACAAAAATAACATATTGGTAAAGTGTTACAAAATCATACGGTAAACTAATAACTTATATGAAACAAGCGAATAAAATATAACAAATGAAATAAATAAAGAGGATAATGGAAATTTGCATATCAATGTTACAAAACAAAAGTTCACTTCTTCCTTTCACCTATTCTTTTAGCCATTCATCAATTTATACATTTTTGTTTCCATTCTTTTCTCAGTCCATCCATTCTTTTACTGGCCTGAGTTCCGTTCTCCTGACTGTTTTTGCACTGGCTATAGCCGTCACTAACCAATCCCAGCTTCCCCTTCGAACAAAACAGAACGTAATTGGCTGAAAAAAAAACACGCCCTTCCAAGAACATGATGCGTGTACTTATAGTTCAAGGCCTGTTGTAGGAGGGGTAGTTACTAGTATATTAGCCAATCACATTGCATTTTGACCAAAGGTGGCGTCCTGATTTGCTAGTTAACTCGAAATAGAAAAAAAAGGATCACATGTCGATGCGCCAGACGGTCCCAGACCCCTTGCAAGATACATTACAACTAGAAAGGCCAATATTTGCTTTGGAGCAAATACAGCGATGGGTTCACCACATTTTACGACATGGCAGGGAAAGAATGAGAAACGCAAGGGAAAACAATGATTTACATTGATATAACTATAATATGAAGTAACATACGACTAAAACAACAGTTGGATAGCTATTCCCTACTTTATTGGTTAGGATTTTTAATTGCATAATGCAAACTGTTGATTTTCAAAATAAAAATAACGTTCATGCCCCGCATTCCAATGCTGGAGCAGGAAAGCTTGAAATACCTACCAAAACACTTGAATACAGACATACTGTCTGTATGGAAATACTCTGTGCAGGTGTTAATCAAGTTAAATCCCAACAGCCAATCAGCAAGAAGAATAGAGGAAAGCTGCATGCCTATTGGTTGATGCCCTGCATTCCATTGTGATGACTCATACCCAAACGTGGTAAACATGACACACTAACACAGTAATACATTTGCTATAACACAGCCAAAAAACTCAAATAAAACCATTCTAAAAGCCTGTATCACAAAAATTTAAAAAACGCCTAGGGGTATTTGCCCACTGTACCTCCATACCAAATTTCAGGACCTTAGGCCCTAAAATGAAGAAGCTGAATCCATTTAAAAAATGGCAGGAGAAGAAGAAGGAGGAGAAGAAGAAGAAGAAACACCAGAAAAAGCAATATGGTGTATCGTGCATAAAACGGATGTGGTCTTAGCAATTTGCATAGAACAGAGTCTGACTTTTTTGGTAAATCTTCCCCACCAGATCTATGGCGTCCTGGTTGTCTACTCCCACTACCAGAACCTTCGGGATGGCGTGGACGAATGAGGTACTCTTAGTTTTCCTACTCTTTTGAAGCAAACAAACAAACAAAATATTTTTATATTATTTAGAGTAACTGTACCAAATCTAATAGTGAAAAATGGCCATAAAGAAATTAAATCTGTTTGATCGTCATTATTTTGGATACTTTTAGAGGACCAATTGCACAATTTGTACTGTACTGTACTGTACTGTATTGTTTTCCATTAATATCAAACTTTTTATTCATTCCCTTGTTCTACATTTTAGGTCATCGGATCCGGACAAAGAGTACGGCAGCTTCAGCGTCGGGAGTTTGGGAGACAAAAAAATCTATTGCATTCCTCGGTAGGAACTCTGGATAGAGTAGCAAGGTGGCAGTTTTCGCTGTGCCTTGGGTATCCAATAGCATTGGTTGAATGCTCGTTATCACGTGATTTTGCGGATGTCATTAGCATCATGAAGTCGGCCATCTTGGATGACATTGGTTAATCGGTGTCACCCAAGATGGCGCTGATGGAATCCGTGACGTAATTGCCGATGAAGAGGTGAATTTATAGCTAAATTTAGCATCATGATTCCTATATATTATATATCATAATTTTTCTGTCGTTATACAAAACGTCTTTGGTAAAACTAGTGTTTACAAAGAAATTTTAATGCTGCATTTTTAAGACTGCTTTGGTTTTTATTATGCGATCATAAAGGCTTCAGTTGTCATTTATTGCATTTTTTTCCATTTTCTATTGTTGCAAGTAGAGTGTAGATTTAAGATCTATGTTGTCAAAGTAACATGTTAAAACAGACAAGTAAATGCCTACGTAGCATACAAAATTGTGAATCCTAAATGTAGATTAAAATGCAAAAGGATTTCGCAATTTGTTTAGTAGCTTTTTTATAACGGTTTGTATAGTGACTACATAGTGGATGTTGTAATTTTGTTGCACGATTCAGCGTACTAAGTTACATTATTGCAAAGGTCTAGCTATGATTGGTAGGTCTAAATAATCACAATAGTATATTAAGATAAATATGTTTAAGTATCTATAGCAGTAAATCATCTTTAAAGTAGTAAATATTTTTATCCATAAAAGGTGGAGTTGGTCCTTTAATGAAATCAGATATTAAATCATAGCCGTAAAGCGTGCGTAAAGGTCCCGTCATTTTACCTAACTGGAAAACGGACACTTTACGCATGATTTAAGTATCTAATTTTAAGCAGTTTCTCGAGTAAAAGAGTTATGTTAGGAGGGGTTGGCGCTTGGGTTGCAATGCCTCAAGCTTAAGCCGAGATTGGAAATGAATGAATAAAAAACCGTTTCTAATCAAGCATAGTCCAATGTGTGTCATTATCCCGTTTACATTCGTATATGAAGATTTTGTTTTCGTTGTGTCTGTCTGTGTGTTTGCTTGTGTTTCCGTTGTTTAATATTTCCGAATTCTAGTAACACCAACAGGAAATTTAGCCTGGGTACCATCCTACTTGTATGCCGGGGCTCCCACACTCGCTTCTTAGCCAGTAAACCTTCGGCGTAACACACCAGCTTCGCTGGCACGAGGCATTCGGCCGAGGTACGCTGGGAGGGGGGCACCAGCAAGCAGGTCGTTGACCTCTGACAATCATAACCCACTGCCCTGCGTGTTTTCATCAAATAACAACTAGCAATTAGGAGTATCATGATCGGGCACGGTTTGAAAGGGATGTGTGGCACTTGGACCAGATGTGAGGAATGTGATTTTAACCCGAATCGCGGTTAAAAGCGTTTCCGTGTGAACAAGGCTTTAGACAACTAGATATTCATTACCTGTCACACCAGTTATGTAAATGAGGCGTAACTACTGACGTCAGAATTGCTATGTCTTATTTTTAAACCCGTCTGACATGTCAGCGTCTTCCCTGTCCTGAACCTCTTTCCTTATGTACTTTCGGTAAAAGCTTTATATCATATTCTACTTTATACCATTGTCGGGATGAGGAGGCTCTGCCTGTGGTGATTCTGGTAACGAACTTTACTCATGTGCTGTATTTCAGACTCTCCTAATTGTCTAACCGTTGTCTAACATTAACTGTTATAGAGTCTACCACAGACTGTGCATGTGGCAGAGCTTTTCCTTTTCTAACCTCTCTAACACTGAAAATCTGCCTTCTAAGCCTTCATTTAGCCAACGGAACTTCGAGTTTACTCGCTCAAACAACAGTTGCGAATAAGGGCTATCTAGAAGTCACAAAAGAGGTTGTTAGATGCAACAGTAAGCTGTACTGTATTTTCTGAGCTGTGGGAGGCCTGTCGTACATTTTGAGAACCCGTGAGAGGAACCATGTGGAGTAAATCTACAGTGACGAGTTACACCCTGGCAGCCCTGGTCGGCACAATGTAAGTAACGTCTAGAGGAAAGATATATGTATTATGAGACGATTTATATCCAGAGCTCGAAATACTGGGTGCAGGTGCACCTTAGTGTACCCAAATTTGGAGCTGTGCACCCAATTTTTTCTGTGGGTGCACTGGTGCACCTAAATATTTTTCTTGGTATTTTTGTACATATTAAATGTATACGGTAATACAGGATATTCTTGGCAAGTGTCAAAAAAATACTAAAATCTTTTTTGTAGTACTTGATTAAGATTTTGAAGTTAGCTTCCATTTCGGATTGACTATTAGTTTATGAAGTCATGAGTACAGACACTGAAGCTGGTAGAATTTTACGTCTCTTTGGAATATGACCTTGTTTCAGCTTACTAAGCAAACATCAAAACAAGATAAGACCAACAATATTTATGTCGTTTCTCTTATATGCTGCCTTAGTATTTGTTATAACTAGACTATTTGTTTTAATTGATGCAAGAAAGACAACAGCCACAACGCACGTCATTTATACAACATGACCTAGATTCCAAAATGTTTTCGTGTTCCGAAAACATTGACAGTATTTTGTCGGCATTGATGCAGCTCTACTAACCATTTCAACTGACCGACAACGACATCTACACCTTGAATCCCATTAATTATGGCCCATATTTGTTTTCCAGCCTGTCCCTAGTCACAATTCACAGAGAACTCCAACAGAACCAGTGTATCAGACAGTGTGTCAGACACACCTCGTACATGTAAGTACACACATCGTTCAGTAATATCTGTTTGTTTGCATTCCAGTGATAATATGAAAACCGTTCCAAATGTGATAGCATAGATTATTAACATATAACATAAACGTTATTCACGTCATCTTGTAATTGTGAACCAAAGTCTAACAGGACTTTGCATGGTATGGTTTACGGTTAATTCAATCTGTTTGACATACTCGGGACTCTAAAATAGCAATATGAAATATTTTTAGACGATTCGCCATATGTCACATTTGCCCCGACTACGCATATTTACTACCACTTCACCCTGTCAGGGTGACCAGGGCTACGTTTTATACTACTAGATGATATATGCGTATATTCTACTTCTAAATATTCATTTAGATGCCTTCCAAAGCCTTGTGACTATATTTTTACTTTCTTATTTGTTTACGTAATCACAACAGTAGTACGATATCGATAGTAGTAACGACCCTACGTTACGAGTATCTAACAGTAACACCTGATCTGTTTAGGCTATAGCTTGTAATAGAACTTTCTCACGATTTTATGGACTGTCTACCATGAGACTTCCCCCAGACAAATCATCTACAGGTTTTTATTAGTTGATGTACGGGTTTGCTGTAACGCACATTTATAGGACTGCTAAAACTACAAAACACCCACTAATCTACTTTGTCTTTGTCTGCACAGGCACAGTGCGATACAGCCCAGAGATGACAGCCCTGAAGACTACATAGGCGCACAGTGGGAGGAGTCAGATGACCATGACGTTCAGATGGAGGAGTTCATCCCCGTGGTCAAACCTTTCACAGGATTCCATAAAGCCGAGACTGACAATATCAGGTAAAACAGGGCCTGACGTAGCTGACATTTGCATGCCTAAGGCCATGTTGATTTGATTATATGGATGACATCCGCGCGCGCATGAATTTTCGGCCGTTTCCAAAAAAAAAGTTTTCAACCATACTGTAAATCGTACAAAACAGTTGCAAAATGAGCAAAAATATACCGTAAGTTACAAAAAAATAAGTAAAAACTATACCAATGTCGTAGAATGCCAAAATCAAACGAAAAAAGACGAAATTGTAAGGAAATGAACTTGAAGATTAGATTATTCGCCAAACCATATTCTGTCCCATTTGTTCAACCCTCATGACCACGTAGATTTCATAATGAAAACTTTTTTTTTTATTCGCACGCGGCCCGATACTAGTTTGGCATCCAGGGTAGTCTACTGAGGGACCTGAGTGATTGGTCGAAAGCTCTAGGAGAGAGAACATTTTGTGTTGCATCTAAAGTTAACTCTAAACATATAACTACCAACACAGATGAAGTTTCATGATAGTACAACATGATTACACTTCCACAGAGCTAGTCTGATGGAAGAGACGCGCAGTATGGACGACATGTTCGCCACACAACAGAACATCCAGCGGGGCCAGACCCTCCACTTCGCCGAGACCAAGATGTGGTCACTACAGACGGAAACAGTGAAGATTCCCGACGCCGTCCATAACATGCTCCCCCGGGTAGGCGTCATGTCTAAACAATGGTTTTAGGTCATGTTGATGAATGGATGACATCCTCTGAAACTCCAAAATTGATGCGAGCGTGCAAATAAAAAATTTTGGCAAAAAGTTTGGTTTCATTATGAAATCTAGGTAATCATGAAGGTTGAACAAATTAATTAAATAAACACACAGTGTACTAAGAAAATAATCCATCGCTACATGTATTATTTGTCAGTTTTGTACAGTCGGCAAACTTTTTTCACAATGGTTTGTTGTAAAAAAAAGGATAAAACTGTTTTAACAATAGAATAACCGTTGGATACCGATAATATAAGCAAGTTTGGTCAGGGCAAAACAGAAATTGAAATCAAATGAGGATTTATTCACTGAACTATCACAATATCATGCTATGGTCTATAGCTTCAGTGCCTGTGACTGGATCCGTATGTAATTCCTGATTTTTTTCACTGTACTGTTATGTTCACTGTTTTCACTGCGACTTCTGCACCGTGAACTTATCATTACAGTTAACAAATAATTCATGGACTTTCTTTTTCCTGCACCTGTCGCCACCGTGAATATATAGTTCCGTGAACGTGTCCACTTTTCTCAGACCGTGAAATTTTGCTTCCGTGACCATAGAGTGAATTGCAGTATATGCTGATGACTTCTGTGCTGACAGGAAACCGGCCTGAAACCAGCGCAGTACAAGACCTGTAGCGTGGTGGGAAACAGCGGCGTTCTGACTAACAGCAGATGTGGAGGCCAGATCGACTCGTCGGACTTCGTAGTCAGGTGAAGAAATATAAACAATCGCCATGGCCCCATTCCCGCTAATGCTGAGGTCACAATATATTCCCACACAGGGCCCGGCCGGGGAGCTTTTGGGAACGAAGAGTACGATATAAAAGACAATAAAACACAGGTTTTTAATGGTAATCATAGGCACTATTTCTGTATATTTTTGACATGAATTACATGTATTAATTTTTCGTTAATACAAACATCCCGACCGGGCCCCGGTTTGGAAATGTGACCTCAGCATAAGGTAAAATCGAGCCGAATTGATTCGCTTTGATCCGGTTCCGATCCGGCTCGATCCGGACAATTTTATCCTAGTGGGAATGGGGCCCATGACACCACGGCCAACGGGTGGTAGGCAAAAAGAGAGTGACGGTTGGCTGATTTGCCTACCACATTATTTGCATGTACATGATGTAAACAAAAACAGCAATCGTAACGTTCGTGTACGACAAGCATCACGTCGATTTTTTTTGTCTGTGTGACTACAAAAATCACGACAGAGAAAGCGTTTAACGCGCTTTTCCAGTAAAGTTGTGGTGGGGCAGAATAATTGACGTTAGCGTGACCTTTGACCTCTTTGTTGTCAGGAGCAACTTTCCTCCAGTTGGGGGAGAGTTCGCAAAGGATGTCGGGAGCAAGACTGACTTCATCACGATCAACCCATCAGTTTTCGCATTGTAAGTCTACTTACTGTGTACTTATTTAATATGATTGAAAATGAGCACCATTTTATAATGGATTGTACACTCTACAATGATAAGCGCCTTTGCTGTTTACTTTTCTTTCCGCTTGTTCAATTGATTTCAATACGTTAGATCTTATAGATAAATGCAACTACATTCTCAGGGGAGATAACCAATACAGTGTTCAAATAGGAAAATACATTAAAGACTGTTTCGATCTTAGAGAATAGTTGTTAGAGAATAGTTAAACCTTTATTGTTACATCATACATATACTCTGTACGTAAGATGACGTTATCCACACATGTATATTTAGCTTTGTTAGATCTTTAGTTGTAGAAGACCCTGTACTTTTTTGTTGTGTCAATAAAGAATCAGTTTAATACACATAGGGAATGGGGGGGGGCAATTTACTTTCAATCCCACTTTCAATTTTTATTTTTATTTGTATTATTATGTCAATAGCTAATTTGAAAGTTTCTACAACTGATTATCGTAGCCTAACTACTAATAAGGCTACACTGACTTAATTTTATGGATGATATCCTCTGAAGACCCCCAAATAGTGCGCGCGGGCGAAAAAAAAATTCCAGCCGAAAAAAAATACAAAGCTGGCATTGTGAATTTGTGGTAGAAGTAGCAGTGCATAACTTTTACGACAAGCTGGCCTTTTGCGGGCACAAGATCGGTGGCATGTCAGGACTTGATCCCGAGTCGAGTACGCTGCCGCTAAGCCACACGACCCCGCCCGGTAACAGTACTTCTACGGCATGTTATGGGTGGAGACATTCCGTTTAGGTTTGAATAATTAGTTGTAGACACTTTCAAAGTATATATGTAAAAATACGCATTTGAATGGACATGTGTTATATTATTGTAGTCATTTCCAAATGGTACCGGTATAATTTATTTTCTTCCCTTTACAGCTATGACAACTTGATCAAAGAAAAAGACCAGCGTAAGTTTTTAGACGACCTGGCACAGTATGGCAAACCTCTGATGTACACACACCCGTTCAGGATTTACCACCAGGCAAAGGTTAGTTTCAGTCTTCATGCAAGGAATTCAATTTTTATAGCCTGGTATCCAGTCTTACGTGATTGGGGGTATTCGGGTGTTCAGGCAGGTTGTGTCTTCGGGGGCTCTAATAGCTTCCCCCGCCCAGTGCAACAGGCCGACCTGGTAGGAGTGTTAGGCTAATAAGAGACAGTATGCTTGGGGGGCTAATCAATCTCTCGTGAAATACACACCGGGAAACCTATGTGAGGCGGGCGGCACAGAGCTCTTGCGGCTCCGACCACGATCAGACTGGATACCAGGCTACAATTTCTAGGACTGTGCAAGATTTATGTAATCTAACTAGGCTTGCCAACTTACTGCTTAGATAATAATAATAATAATAATAGATGGTTTATTGAAAGTAATTTGCAGCCACCGGGCTGAATTGCATACCTTGTACAATTGCTAAAAATCTTAAATTACAAACAGATACCAAGAATTATAAAGAATCCATACGAATTTTACGGAATTCATACGAATTTACAGAGCAGGTAAAAAATTAGTAGGAATCGTACGTTTCTGAGTAGTGCATCGTATGTATTTAGTGAAATTTGTATGTTTCCTTGTAATTGATCATTTGTATTTCGGAAATTTCGTATGATTCTTTGACACCCAAGGGGTCTACTTCTACATGTATCATTTTCCTCATCATCTTCCCATCCTAGTGTTTGCTACCGTGGCAAATGATATTGGCGGAGAAAAAGCAATATGGGTAAAGATCTCTGGCCTGGGTACCATCCTGGTTAGTTAACGTCTGCTCCCACAGTCACCCCCACCAACTGTGGGAGCGGACGTAAACTAACCAGGATGGTACCCAGGCTAAAAGATCTCTGGCAGAAGTATAATAAAAAAAGGCATCTTGTTCCATTTTGTCTGTCAATTTGTCGTTCTTTAGGTTTGTCTGCAGGCCATCTCTGTCATGAAGAAAGCAGGTCGTATGGACCAGGTCAGGGCGTCACATCCAGACTTCCTGACGTCTGTCGGGAAATTTTGGAAGGGGCGTGGCTTACAGGAGTTGAGATGCACCACAGGTCAATTTCATTAGTTTGTTTGCTTGCTTGTTTGTTTGTTTGTTTGTTTATTTATTTATCCAGGAAATTCATATCGCCTGGTGGCGTTTTTCAACGGTTCCTGGGGGGAAACCCCAAACAAAATCTATTAACAACAAAATCAACTCAGAAATAGCAAAGGTATCAAATAAAGTTACACAAATTACAAAATCAATTTGAGAATAACTTAAAATAACATACATAATACATATGATCATACGACCAGAATAAGAGAAACAATATTGAAGCCGTACTATCATATAACGTAGAACCAAGGTTGATCTATTACGAAACCTTCTTAGCCCTGCTGGGCTAACCTTCCAAGGCTCAAACACATACATTTCAAATTACATTATTACAAGAGAGAAGACAAGGCTCTGACTTATTGTTTTGACTATTTAAAAATGCAATGATGCATTTCACTCCTTTAATATGCGATGTCCCCCCGGAATCAAAAACATTTAATTGTACAATGATTGAAAACTTTTATTTTTCAGTAACAATGGATGTTGTAGTAGTTGGCAGAAAACTTAGCATAATGCAGTACAAATTATACATTAGTTGTTTAACAAGGTTTATGAAGTCAAAATTAAAAAAAAATGTTTTTTTGCCCTATTGCATTAGATTTGGAGTCTATGGAGGATGTCACCAATAAAATTTTCTTATTTTGGCCCCATGTTACATAATGGAGTTCTTGTCATAATTCCTGTTGTGTTATCTGTTCAGGTCTGCTCCTATTGGCTGTTTCCATGTCCCTGTGTGAGGAGGTCACACTGTACGGCTTCTGGCCCTTCACCTCGTACAACGGGCACCCCGTCAACTACCACTACTTCGACCGGCCGACAATCGGAACGAAGGAATTCAAGGACAAGTCGCTGGAACGAGAGCTGGTTCAGCATGGATCTTTTCACAACTTCACGGAGGAGTTTTTATTTCTAAACCGTCTTCACGACAGGGGGGTGATAAACCTGCACGTGAGGCCTTGTAGTTAGTCTTTCTTATGGGGGGGGGGTTACTTTGCTTTATTATTTCTTTTTATATTCCAACATCTATCACAAGACGTGGTGAGGACACACTCAAGTTTTTTCAACTTATATTAATGCCGCCACCAACATAGGGGACAATACAATACTCATTTTCACCTGAGCGAAGTGAGGAAAGTCATGTAATGTGCCTTTCCCAAAGGTACAAGATCGGTGGCATGTCAGGACTCGAACCAGGGACCTCTTGATTCCGAGTCGAGCACTCTGCCGCTACGCCACACGACCCCACAACTTTACTTTATCCATCCAGTTCTACCGTCTGGAGTGTCGTGGGGAGGGACAGTTGGAGGCCGACTGCAAGTCTGGAGGCTCTTCTTAAAGGCTTGCCATACCTAGTTTGGATGTCCTTCAGTCCACGTCTTCCTGGGACGTCCCCTTGTCTTAGATACAGACTTTCTGTAGTTATAAGATCTGTGCGGTACTTTTTGTGGTGGCATCCTTACAACGTGTCCAAACCACACATTTCGGGACAGGGGGCATTGAAAAGGCATCGGCCTGTTCCCCCTGTCCTGTCCTTGTGGCAAAGTTGTAATAATAAATAAACAAGATTTGTTGTTGGTCAATAAAATCTCTGACTGGTTTTATTACTTAAGGCGTTTTCAGTAAACTGAGGTCTTGACTAAAAGTTAGAATATGTGTATAAACTGTGCCATACTGAGCACATGGTTTCACTAGTTTAAACAGTAGCAATTTATTTATTGTACTTTAATTGATTAATCGTGGCTTGGTTATGTATTTGCAGGTTATTTATGTGCGTAATTGCAGCGCCACACATTTGACTAAACATATATATGTTGTAATAGTAGCTGGTTGAATATAATCTGTGATTATACATGTACAGCATAGTTTGGTCAACGAAGAAATAAAATTATTAGAAGGCAATAATGTCGTTCAGACAGTCTCCTGCTATAATGTTGCTCCTGCTCGTACCATGTTTTGTATTCTTCTATCATGTTGATTGTTATGACGCCTTAGCTTCAAAGCTTCGTTAAGATACAGAAAATGAAGTGTTTCTTTGTCATATCTTACCATAGAATTTTTCCTAAAATTATTTAACAGCAACAGCTACTGCCAGAAAATGAAGGAACTCCTTATGTAGCTTGCCATTTCAAACGCGTAAAACATGGACCCTATGACAAATATGTGCAAAGAAATGGCATTTAATCTCACTATCAGACAGATGTCATCATTCAAAATATTTTGTTTCTCCGCCCTTATATATGTAGAGAGACAATTACATTCCGACCTTTATGTGGTGCCGATGTTTTCCTTATTGAAAAACCTTCTGAAGGCACAAAGGCGGCATTTTTGTAACCACTTGTGGCCTTCGGGTGTCTAAAAGGTGCCTCGTAAAATACTTTTAATGTTCCATTTGTGGATGCGTTTTTTTCAGGATTTGTTACAAGTGTATGTAGATTTTGTTTAAGTTCTAACCAGCCCTAATTGGCTAAAACAGGAATTACTGATACATTCTCTCGATTTCTTTAAATTATTGGTTACTAACGATATTATCTTGGACGTTGATTTTTTAGTTGACCTATATTCTACTTATCATCATTTAAAATGTACATTTTCACATTCTTAATCTTTATCATGCTAGTCTTTGTCGGGTTTATTTTGAAGGGATGATTAAAATCTGCCTGCAGGCGTTATGTCTATCCCGGCCAGATGAATGAACTGAAACTGACATAAAGGCGGTCCTGTTGCACCGCTGCACGTCTGATCGCTGTTCCCAACATTACCATAATTGGTTACCCACTTTTATACTTCATGAAGCACGATGCCGCCTCCGCGCCACGCCAGTTCAGATGTTGACGCGGATCGTAGTAAACGAAAGATGAAGCTGATTTCCTTACAACACGGGCGGTAACATTGTTAATATCTCATGTATCTAGAGAATGTAATTTGACGAACAGTCTGGAACAATATTGCCATGGTAACAAAGACGTACATGTAAGTACATGCAGTTTCGGAGAAAACACTGTAGCCGTGGGCAGCACTACGCATACCGTGGAGATGCGTTTAACCTTTCTTACAGTTCTTCTAGCAATTTGTTCTGTAGCGTAACCATCAGATCGTACGATCGTGGAAAGATCGTGCAGAGATCGTGTAGAGATTGTGTTGAGATCGTGTAGAGATCGTGTGAAGGACGTGGTGACATCGTTAAAACTCGCGGCAAAACCATGAGAAAACGGGATCAATCCATCGCGGTGACGCTGATGATTTTTATCATCACAATTCGCTACGTTGGAATAAGCTCGGCGTCCGGACCAGACTTGGACACTACGAATCATGCCGGCGACAACAGGGACGTATCGAGCAACTCCTCTCTGCAGAACTGTTCCTCTGTGAGTCACAACACATCCACGTCTACCAACAACAGCTCTGCAATCGAACACAACATCACGCTACCAAGGGTCTACGAATCACTGAAGAACGACTCAACATCGTCCAGCTTTGATTACGAGAAGTACGCTTCTGTCGAAGCTATATCGGTGTTAGGCGTTGCCGTGGGCCTTGGTGTCTGGTCAGTGGTGGCGAACAGTCTGCCGCTGGCTGCTATCATCAAGCAAGAGCAGCTCCACACGCCCGCCTACATCCTCATGGCTAACCTGGCCGCAAGCGACGTCCTGACCGGGTTTACTTTCATGTTCGTTGGTAGCTCGGTCTTGTACCACAACCTCATGGGGACCAGTACCCCAATGATGACCTCCCGTCTCCGCTTCAGTGCGCTCCTGCTCTCGGGACTGTCCTCCGCTTACGGTCTGATGGCGCTAACGGCTGAACGCTACTGGTTCATCGTTCACGGGATGACCTACGTCAACAACGTCACCAACGACAAGTGCAAGGTCATGATTGTCCTCGTGTGGGTGTGGTCAGCGCTGCTGGGGATGCTGCCGTACTTTGACTGGAACTGCGCGGGACTTTTCAGCGAAGGGTGCCTACCGTTAGGCGGGGGGTTGTCGTACGGCTACGTGGTCGCGGTCCTGGTGTTTGTCTTCATCCCGATGGCGGCAATCATCCTCCTCAACATGGGCGTGCTGTGGTGCCTGTGGAAGCAGGTTTGTTTGTTTGTTTGTTCATTTAGTAATCTCCCGAGCTAAGCTGGGTCACGGGAATAGGAGAGTTTCCCGTGCGGGAACTGTGCCACGGAGGGGGAGAGATTCCCGCTTACGGGAATCTCTCCACCTAGCAGTGCCGAGTCCCGCACGGGAACTTCACCACTCAGGGCTGCCACGGAGGTTGAGAATTTCCCACAATACGGGAATCTCTCCACCTAGAAAGACTAAGTCCCGTACGGGAACTTCACCACTCAGGGCTGACCGTGCGCGCACGTGTTTTGGGGCCGATATACGGACGGGAATGTCACCATATTACACGAACGGGAATTGGACCATTTTAGTCGACATTTCGCGTACGGGAAATTCACCAGCAGTGACAAATAATGTCCGTCCGCGGACGCCGTACGGGAACATCACGGCCGATATACAGACGGGAACTTCTCCACACAAACGGGAATTGGACCATTTTGGTCGACATTTGTCGCACGGGAAATTCACCAGTTGTACTACAGGTGATTGAACCGGCTGGAATCAAAACAACGCCCCTAGCTTGGTTTGAAGCAAAATTCTAAAAACGTCGAGTGATCGACGTAATCACGAGTGCTCTATGGACATTTCTGTGCTGTAATAATAGTCTTGAAACTCGGTAGAACACACACACATAAAAAGCCTGTTATACTACGGTACAAAAAAATGTCCGAAGAAGACACAATCGCAATTACGAGTAAGTCTTATACGAACAGTGCTGTTGATAGCGTAGTTGATAACGCTAACGACAACCGGCTCCTCGACAACGAACACAAAATGTTCGTCCTCAAATTAAAACATAATGATGTGTGTCAAACTCACGCTATACAAATGACTCAGCGAGCGGCTTAGACTTTACGGCTATTCCCCTATTCTCATACATGCTAGTACTCAGGACGCTAGTACTAGTACCGGGGTAGAAAAATATGGCGGACATAAACAAAACGACGCTATCCCGTCATGCAATAATGACGCTAGAGTGTTACGGTTGTAGCAAAAATAAAAACCTTGTTCGGTATTTCAGATTCAATCCCTGCGTATGTGTTGTGGGTTGCCATTTACTCATATTTTCCTTGAAATATATACATTTCCAGCAAGCTGAGGCTAGGGGTTTCTTAATCATACCGTTTGCGTTTCGAGTTTTGTTAGTCCTCGTACGCGTACTTTGTTGCGTACTTTGTTCTGTAGCGCTGATTTCCTTTTGCAAGGACGTTATAGCCTCGTTGGAATAACGATTCTTTTTGTACCGATAAAAGACCGTAAGTTTAGTCTCGCTGATATCCGGCTCCTGAACAGTAAACACAAATCATGCGTCCTCACAACGTGCCCAGGCCCAACCTGGTTACAATGCAACGATGTACTAGTAATACATCAACAGTTATTTTCATACTTGTCCGGCCGGGACGCTGAAAAGATGGCGACCATAAACAAAATGACGCTATCCCGTCATGCATTATAGTATATCAGCTTGGCGCGAGACCCGAGTGTTACAGTAGTAGTCTACACGACTTTGGTGATTCATATAACGAAATCAGACAGCTTTAATTTCTCTTTCAGATTTAGGTAGTGTAAGGCAAAAGCTTGTCATTCTTGTTTTCATTTTCAGATTCAAGTCGTCAGGATCAAGGTTAAGACCGTGTTGGGTAACACCGTTCGCCGAATAATTTTTTAAAATCCGTTTTTCATTTTTACGTTGGTTTCTAGTTATAACGTTTGCTTTTTTCAGTTTTGTTCCATTTTTGACTTATCTGTGTCGTTGATTTCCTTTTTGCTACAACGTTCATGTTCCTCATCAGTTTACTAACATCCGATTTTAAAAGTAACAGTTACCAACTAACAGTCCATCACAACTTTCAGACAAGTTACGTTCAATCTAAGATAAAATTACTGAGTATGTTACTCTAAGTGATTACACATGATACTATATATCCGTGTTCGGTAGTTATTTTTTTTTTCAATTTTGATGAATTTTACAGACTTACGAGCCGAAAGATTTGCGGCGGTGGGGACGCCAGGTTTCCCCGCCAATAACACAACACCGGATGCAGTGTCAAGTTGGAGATTACAGCGATTTCTTCGTGGCACATGCTTAAATAGAACCTGTATAATTACATATTTGTATTTATGTTTTAAAATGGTTGCAGTCGTAGATAGTGATGTTATATGTTGTTGTTATACGGGAACAAACATGGCCGCCGTTGAACTTCTATTGTTCTGCCGAAACAACTGATGCTATACCGCCATGCATTGCGAACCATACTCAAGGCTGTTGGACCGGATTTACAGTTTCTAGACGATTTCTTGAGCCGTCGGACACCCTAAGGTAAGGCCGGAGTGCTACAATTCCGCTAAGAGAAGTATGGCGAAAATCTCATATCGATGAACAAAGATTTCCAGCCGTCTTCCCATAGAATTTTGGGCATATTGTTAGTTGCCTCTTCAAAAATTTATGGGGTAGACACTGTAGTATTTAAAATGTAAATTTTGACCCTGAAAATATAGTTTTACACTTTTGCAACGGAGTTGCTTTTTTAAACCCTTATTTAACCCTGAAAAAGTACAGTATGTAACAGTACACCTCTTCGGCCTGAGCCGCTTTTCAAGAGTTCAAGGGGAGGTGGGTCAGGGGTATAATGCTTCGGTTTCAGTTACAATAATCAGTCATAGAAATACAATATAAATGCATACAATACAAGTTCATACAAAATTCAAACATTATTTCGATTCATATCTTATTGCTATCAGTATCGACATCCAAGTTTCATTTCACAATTAAAGTCATTCTAAGTGACTCGACGCAGTCGGTTTTTAAAAGCTGCAACTGATGTGGGGTCCTTCCAGCCCAGTCGATTCCGTACTTCAGCCGACGGCGTTCTGTGCGGGGCTCCCAGCAGCAGCCTCCCGGCCCTGTTGCAGTTTTTGTAGATCCTGTTCTGGTGCAGTGTCCCAAACAGTGCTTGCGTAGTTTACGTTATATATGGTCAAAATACTGCTGTACAAGGTAATGTCATTTCAAGTTAGTTTGGAAACAGATACATCGCTAAAATGATGAGAAACAAACAAAATCGGATATGATCACTTATGAGTTCTACGAATGAATAAAAGTCTTGCAGTAGAAATTGCGAAATTGCACGTCCTTTGCACTTCTAGGCTTTGTTTATAATCTGGCACCCAAAACAGAACGCGCGTGGACGAATCTTAAGCTTATCATCTTTATCTAGTCTTTTCACAATGTAAATTTTGGACCCGAACAATATTTTTTTAACACTTTTTCAACGAACAGAGTCAAATGCCTTTTTGAAATCGACAAAACATAAGTAATGGCGTTTGTTTTCGGAGAGGTATTTGCTTAGCAGGGAATCCATAATAAATACTTGTAAAGTCGTCGTTTGTGCCAAATCGATTTGTAAATCCGGCATGATTAGGGGAGGCAAGTTTGTGCTCGTCCAGAAAAGTTGTTAGACGTGTGTTTAGTATTGACATAGATAATTTGCCACAATTTGTAACTGATATCCCCCTACAATTACCGGGGTCATCTTTTATCCCGCCTTATAATAGCCTGGGACCCTGGGTACCATCCGGATTTAGATCCGCTACGACTAGAAAAAGCGGAGCAAAATCCGGATTGAACCAAGGCTAGCTGTATAATAGGAAATGTAGATGTTTCCATCATACATGTGAGTCATTATGTCACCAAAAATAACGTTAGTTGTTACATCGTGTATATGAAGGAACAAGTCAGTTAGTAAACCAATATCATTGTTCCGAACTACTAACGAGTGTTCCAACACGAAAGGAAGCCGTCAACAACATCCAACAGCAAAAGCATGATACAACACAAACGAATGACATCTCACTGGTTTTATGTTAGTAGTAACCTTAGATGTAAGATCGTGCCAGACTTGGTTGTGTTAGTAACGGCAACAATAACGCGAAGGCAACAGGTTGGAATAAAAATAAATGAAGTAGGTCTGATTCCTTTTTCCCTCCAAGATCCAACCGATAGTCTCTTGTGACAGGCCTGGTCTCGTAGCGGTACCTGAAAAAATGTAACGCTGACATGAATTCTACGGCGCACCGTGCCACGGACATAGTGACTTACTCAAGTTACTGTGCAATAATGTGCAATTGTATTGTTAGCTGTAGATAGTATAGTAATTTTAATTATGTAAATGTTAATACATTGCAGTGGTTTCAATCTACGTATTTGTAAAATGCCAACGGAATTCAGTCGTGTTTGAGGAATTCAGCACGCTGCAAAGTTGATTTTAAACAAAGATTTGATTTATTTATCTTCTTCACGTTTCCTGAAACGCAGAGCATGGCGGTATAGCTTGGATTAGTAAATATACGCCATTGTTCCTATCGATGAGCAGTATTTTGGAGATAGAAAGGATTTAAATCCAAATCCCAGGAAAAGGACGTCGTCTCTCTCGAATATACAGAACATCAGACACTGCGCCTCTGCCACCGCAAATATGTCACAGTGGAAGCAAGGAGCTACCTCCTCGGTGAAAGTATGCAAAACTCGTCAAAATTTAAAATAAAATACACACAGAGAACTACAGCTCATATGCACACATTAGCACGTTTAATCACAATAACATAATGTTAAGTTACCGTATCCGTTTCCAAGTGAATTCTAAAATACTACACAAACTGTCGCGGAGGCACTGCGACCTTTGAAGTGACATAACACAGTTTTCGCCCTAATTTCTATAGTTAAGCACCCCAAGGTGGCTCACTTCGACGCGGTAAAATTATAGTAGGGTGCACTAGAGTAACACGGCCAACTAGTACATCTACAAAATAATAGAAAACAAAAAAGTTATGTTTTTAACGTGACGACCTCTTTTATCTGGCCACCTGTGGAGGTCAAAGGAACTGCAGGCGGCTCACCATGGAACGCAGTTGCGTAATGCGGCGCATTTATACACGAACAGGGAAATCTTCACAGTATGTATCTTGTACACTATATCAGATTATACAGTGTACAAGCCGATGCATTACTATACAACACAGCTCAGTTTACTCCTGGTTACATCTCACATAAGTCGCTTGATTCAAGGAGCTTTTATCACAGAATAATGCCCTTGCTTGATTCAATAGTTCTGCCCGCACTACTTTCTATACCCACGCCCATTAATACTGTGTTCTCCGACCTTGACATTAAACAATACCATGACCTTTGACCTAATGAATACTAATTAGTAGTAGCGTGGGTTATGGCCGGCCGGTGTGTCACGACTTCGGGAGTGAGGAGCGAGTGTTGTTTTATAAAGTCAGTGTTGACCGATAGAGGACACAGATGAAGTAGCCAACGCCACAAGATTTGAAGATCCATATTTCGTCTTCCATGCCCACAGGTATCTTGTTATTTTTTTTTCATTCTCGGTATTTAAAAAAATGCTGCGTTGTTTACAGCATTTAGTATCCAGGCCCTGGCAGTCACGGAGCCTTATTCACGTAGATATGCTTCCCGATTCTCCCTATCATAGTCCCTCTTCCTGAAAGCAAAATCAGTGACTTGTTGGAATGTACAAATTATTATCGTGATTGCTTTGACAGTACTATGTTGTTTATTTCGACGTTCTTAGATTTGGAACGTTTAATACCTCCATAATACGATATCTTCGAAAGTTCGTTTTCTACCGTAAATACTCATGAATGCATGATATTTACTCAAAAGGGAAAAGGTACCCATACACAAATCTCACAGAAAATGTGCGTTTGTGGCTTCGCAAATTCGTCTTTTTTGCTTGATATATGATAGTTTGGTGTGAAGTTTGCGATTTGACCCAAAATGGTGACGTTCCCGATCGCGCAATGTCGGCCCGAAATGGTGACGTTCCCGTTGCGCGATGTTGGCCCAAAATGGTGACGTTCCCGTTGCGCGATGTTGGCCCGAAATGGTGACGTTCCCGTCACGCGATGTTGGCCCGAAACGGGTGACGTTCCCGTGCTTGCCATTTGAGAGCTGAGTAATGAAAACACATGCGCGCACTGTCGCTCTAGAGTGGTGAATCTCCCGTACGGGAGTCCGTGGCTCCACGTGGACAGTTCCCGCGCGGGAAACTCTCCACCTCCCGTACCTCGGCTTACCTGATTAGTGATAATATGTACATCACTATTCTTCCTGGAGTCCTATACAACCTAAAAATTCAACTATTATTTACATTTACTTCAACTGCTATCATTGACATTATGCTTCAGGAAAACTTATCTTAACAACAATTTTAAACATCAATTATTACATCAATCATTACAACAATATTACACTATACAACCATCAATCAATAATGTTACACTATACAATTAGCAAAAAAAAACAATTTTGTAATAGGTGAACGCCATCGCTGCACAAGAAGCCGCGGTGGGAGCCGAGCCCAGCACCAGCCGGAAGTCCGCCTTCACCGTCGTGCTCATCACCGTGGTGTTCCTGGTGGGGTGGTTGCCGCTCTTCTCCCGGATGGCCATGCTGACTACGGACGTCGGCTCGCTGCACGAAACCAAAGTCTTCGTGGTGCTGAACTCGGCTATCAACCCCGTGGTGTACGGGTTCAGGCTCCGGGAGGTTCGCCGCGGCGTGAGGAGGCTCTTCCGATGCGGTGGAGGAAACGCGAATCTGCCGGTTAACTAAACAAAACAAGAAGGGAACAGGCCAGCAGCAAGACATTGAACACGCACTCCCCTTTGGTCTACGGACATCAACAACGCATTACCAAAATTAAATGCAGAGCGTGGAAATCTCTGAAGGACTAACTGTGCACCAGCTATGACAAGCAGACATCACGGTGGAAACTACGCACAGCACAGATAACGCACAATATACCACCAAAATTGATGTGAAAATTCAAAGATTCTTACGTACTCTATTTATATCTTCTACAATCAAACTACTTGGTAACAAACCTATCAAGGACATGGATAAGAAATGAAAGACATGCATCTTTGGACAAGGTTATCTACCGGCAACACTAGACGCCAGGGCTTTGAAGCGGCTTTCAAGAAATACCATGGCACAAAATCATACATTCATATACATCAAAATCCATGCAAGGGACGTACACAAACAGTAGACGAAAAGTTAAAGGATCAAAACGACCATCTAAATGCCCCTTTTTTCAACAATGTGGACAAGGAAAGAACCAAAAGTGTCTAGGACAGACGAATACCAAGAGAAGTGACAACAGCAGCCGAACAACAAGCCATATCAGCACCAAGGACAGGGACAGAAGGACGGTAAGCCACACACACAAACTAACAACGGAAACAAAAGCCAAAAAGATCAGCAACACGACGGACTATTAGAAATGTACAGCTCTATCGACCTATTATATAGCGATATACAAATCAGATAACTTAAGTGCAATATTATGCGCCATACATAGCTCTGCCATTTCGTACATAACTGATTTATTAATCAGACACCTCCGAGCCTGTACTCATTTTCTAAATGTGGTCAACCAAATGTAAATCCCTAAATCTTATATTATATTATTATAAGAGATTTATTCTGATGTCAAAGTTCTAATATAATCTAAAAATCGTAAGCAGAATATTTATGTGTACTTTATAGTTAAGCTAGAAATTCTTGATTTTACTATAATAATATGTGTAAAAAACAGCATATCCGAAGTCTTTTGTGCCTTAGTGTTAGTCAGGGTGACTGTAGAATAAAGACGTTTTGTCCTTATTAGCATCGTTTTGCGACCGTTTTGTATTCATTAGCACGCCTCGTGTAACTTACATGTTTGTTACACATTGTCTTCTCAATTATTACCTCCCTTCATTTAATCAAAGGATGACTGTAATGTCGATTTTAACTTTTAAAAGAATATTAGGGTTAAAAACTGTATATGCATCCTTGTTGACACTTTGATTTCTATAATCTCTCTATATACATATAATACATGTTTGAATTTGTAATACTTCTGATGTTTTTTAATATGTTAAGTGTTCTGAATGCTCTGTAGACTTCGAAATTGGTAGTAGTTTCAATATTAAAAATGTATTTCAAACAAAGAATCAATTTGTGTTAATTTGAAATCACAGGAAAGGAAAACCCCGCAAATAAACACAGAGAAGGCACCTTGAACAGAGATCATTGGGAGTAAACCATTAACCATACCACAGAAAGATGCATTTTTGTCCCAAAAGGCCATTTCTAACGGCCTTTCTAGCAATTTCGTTGTTTACCATAATTTTCATTGCATTATGTATACATATTCCTTAAAAATATAAATATGTTTTCTCATGAGACATTTTAAACATATGTATGTACATATTACTGTAGTAAGCGGGTAGCAGGTGGGTTAAGCAGTTCTACTCAACCATGATGAAATGTCGGTTAGAAATAACGGCTTTCTTTACCCTCTATTATCCTTCTTCCATAGACGATGGCACAACCTTTCGCAAACAGCTGCGATATTAAATCTCTCGACCTTGTTCTAACAACGCCCCAGAGGCGCCACGCAATTTACTAAATTAAACGCAAATTAAAAATGTAGTTTTAACACAGCCCTGAATGCTTTCGGACCTACAGTTAACAATCTTGCCTCCTAGCCGCAGATACCCCAAGCATGACTGATCCTCCATTAATTGCCCGCTGCCACAAGAACCTAATTACTCCGTAAAGGAGGTATCCTATACCTCCTTCGGGGTATTGTGGTTGAGGCGGTATTTCGTGTTCGCAGCCAGATCAGAGGGTTCCCTTTGTTTAATCGGCATGTAATTTTATACGTCGTGTCTATGCCCGGCCTTGTTGATGCACGTGTATTTATTATTTTTTACCGTAGCTGCTTTCGCGGTCAATGTAATATTTAAAACGCACCCCTACATTTATGAGGGAAATTGGTACGGCCAATGGTTTTGAGTAGGGAGTCTGGCCGTTTCCCATATAGTAGACGTTTGGTGGGCCGGTGTTCAGAAACAGACGCGCGTTTTGCGTTGTATTTGTATTGGGGGTAAATTTCAAATATGTTCGCAGTCAAAAAACACATGGTTGTGTCGGTTGCATTTTTCTGTAATTGGGTATGTGGTGTGCCGTTGTGTACGTTATGCAACGGCTATCATATAAAAAAATATTCCACAGACACCCTACTATCCAAAAACCATAATGAGAATTTGCCACCTCAGCTGATACCGATATCTCTTCTGGCCCATGGACTACAAGTAACTAACCACATTTAACGAGCTAAATAGGCTACCTTGCTGTTAATCTAATCTGAAAGATGTGACGTGGGTAACATCGCCTTCGGATACAGTTGTGTTATTGTGGTGGTGAGTGGCATGATCTTATAATATTAGATATCGTGGGTGGTCGTGTGGCGAAACGGCAGAGCATTCGGCTCAGAACCAAAAGGTCCCGGGTTCGAACCCTGCTAAGTCACCAACCTTGCGTCCTTGGAAAAGACACATTTACACGAATTTCCTTACTTAACTCAGGTGAAAATGCCAGAATCATCATTATTATAATCGTGTGTAAGACCAAATTATATCAAATTACGCAAAGCGCAGTGTTTCCAAGATCCCGTCTTTTTTCAAAGCCCGAAGTTGAAAATATTATAGAGAACAAACATTTCTTAGCATATTGGCATCATATTTTTCGATTTTTTTTTGTCTAGCTGTGACACATGCAAAAAGAATCCGCATATGGTCAGCCAACATTTACTTTAAAGAAATATTGAATTTGGTCAGGATCTGATAGCAGTAGTTTACTTTGGCTTCATATGTATGCTATTCTCCAAGCAGAAGTTTGGGTTTGGGGTTATTTTTGGCGTGTTTTCAGGCTTTTCTTATCGGGGTTTCTCTTTTGCACTGGATTTTTTTCTCACCCAACCTAACCTATATGTATGCAGTACTTGGGTGCTTTTTTCAGTTAACCTATATAACGTTACATGTCTAATAACTAAAGTATCCATTCAAATATTCTTTATTCTTTCATCCATCTAACCTTTGCAATTCAAGACAAAAGTAAGACAAGAAATTTCAATATCAGGGTTTCAAATCGTTCTCTTTTCCATGAAATCATTTGGAATGACATTCATTTTAAACCATATGACGTCATCAATGACCTGCTGTTGCCATGGGAACGGGCCTCACCACTGAGACTGCACCTGGAGGGGTCGAAAAAAAAAAGTATCGTGATGTTCTTGACATCTGAATGTTTTCTGTTTGTTTCTTTGTTTGTTGTTGATTTGATTTTATTTTCAGTTCAGATTTTATTTTGCTTTGTTATAATTATGTAAATATAATTTGAAATGGGTTTGTTTAATACAGAATGATCAAAGCGCATAAGAATTGAAAGATAAATTTTTCAGTATTAGTCAAGTATGGGAAGTGTGGGAACGTACTTGTAATATATCTACAAAGATGTAAAACTGACCGCAGCTCCGGGTGCCAGGCCTGGCTGGGGCGCCTGTACGGTCATCACCATCCCCGGCTGCCCGCCCTCCACCACTCCGTCACGCAGGTTCTGGTAGTGGGAGTACACCACAAGGCAGCCGTACGCCTGCAGTAAGCACAATCACGTTCAATCATGTAAGCGTTAGCGCGGATAAAAAGCGATCCTAGCGGTTTTTATCATAACCACATCGGGGTAAGGGTAAAGCAAGTCGAAGTTCTTCCCAGCGTAAAGAAGGGAAAGGAAGATTAAAACACACACTGTGCAATGTTGTATTTTCTTCGAAATATGTCACTAAGAAATGCCATGGTTTAGATTAAACATACTATGTAAACAAAGACAAGAAAAGTCACTTAAAAAACAAAGAGAATACGCATAAGATTATACAATAATATTTTATGTCATATATCAAAGCAAAGGACAATGGACTAAGCTAATATATTCAAAAGCTGTTCAAAACCGTGTTTTTTTAATATGATCGTGCAGGAAACGCATCGCTACTCATACACTAGGGTCTCCTTGAAAGCACTAGTATGGGTTCGATATAAGGTTAGCTTTGACAGTATACTATAAAAAATCCTCCTTATGGTAGCCGCTAGGGGGTCCAAAATCTAATCATTTCCAGGCCGCATCAAGACCTACCCACCTACCAAGTATCAAGATAATCCATTTAAGCCTTCTCAAGTTATCGTGTCCACAGACAGACGGACGGACACACATACACATACACGAACGCCTCTGAAAACATAACCTTCTTGGCGAAGGTAACAAGAGGAAAGGCCTACCGTAATGAGGGCAACAAATCCCCAGATGATCCATGCGCCGGCCAGAAAGGGGCCGATCAGCAACGCAGCGAGCTCGCTGGCATCACCCTGTAAACGAATAGAATACAGCTGTCACTGGCGAAAAATGCCGTTGGTAAGAATGTCTTCAGAGACACATTTTTTTACAGTCTTAAGGGCATCCAATGCAATTTCTGGGCGGGAAAAGTAGAAATATTCCGAAAAAGGCAGTCTTTATTATATTATGTTATTACATACTGCCCCACATTAGCTCACATAAATTAGTATCTTTTTCGTCAGTCATTTAAAACCACAGAACCAAGCCCCAATATGTTCTGGGTGGTACCCTAAAATCAGTCCAGGATTTTTGGCGTTTTTGCTCCTCGAATGTCGATATTGAATAGGATAGTATTGTCTCAACTTATTATGTAGATACGAGTGACTAAGATATTGACTAAATTATTTCCCTAAAGGTGGTCGTCGAAACGTCTTCACGTTGTGAATAAAAGAACTTTAGATTTCAAATATTTACCAACCTGATACAATTTTGGCGACGTCTAAGGGAGGAGCCTAATGGTACAGTATTGTGCAGTTTGCAAGAATTCTAGGAATGGTACAGGCATTTTGTCCACAGGAATGGAATGTCCACAGGCATGTCTTTGACCAACATCTATGCCCACATTCCTGGAAACCCATGGGAAGACCTGTCTGCCCCGGATGGCCCTACTTTCTGTGAACCAGGGGCTCATTCACTATACACTCAGGGGAGGAGTGTACTGTATCTGTCTAGACTTAGCAGGTACCAAGGCTTCCCCAAAATCATGAAATGATGGCATGCCACGCAAACAATAACCATAACAGCAACCACCGTCGCCATGGCAATGTATGTTTTCATTGCCAGTCTTTTTGCGGATGTTTTTGGAAAGATATGACTTACTGATGCGTGGATGACCCCCAGCCAGACCACGGTTACGTAGATGGCCACACCGAGTGATGCAAGCGTGCAGCATACGGAGAAAATCACCCAGGACAGGAGCAGCTCCTTCTTTTCCTGTCGTTAAAATACAATCCAGACTTTTCAGGTATACGTATTGCAAGAACTGTTTACGTCAAAGGAAAAACATTTCGAATAGAACCCCATTCTAAAACCCAGAAGTTGAACGTTGAGTAGTCGAAAAAACATGTATCGTGATGTCCTTGACATCTGAATGCTATCTGGTTGTTTGTTTGTTTGTTTGTTTGTTGATTTCATTAGGCTCTGTTTTTGTGTACTAAGTGATTGCCTGTGATTGCAAGCGAAATCAGGTTCTAGAATCAAATGGTGTTTTATTCGTAAAAAAAAAACGTGGACTTTGCAGCCAAAGGCTGAATTGCGTCCAGTTGTACATGCAAATTCATTACACATTTATTTACATTTATTTACACAGGCATTAACACAGGCATTATTTACAACGACTTTAACGTACGGTGTCTAACACAAATAGTGACTGTTCAGGAGGTAGGTCATGTATGGGACGCTACTCTGTTTGTACCGCTCAGTTCTACATTTGGTAAGGGTCAGTTTGTTACTGGAACGAGTGGTGCGCTCAGTGGTGGTGCCCCTCCTGGGCGGTAGCCAGTGTTGGAAGTCCTGTGATCTGAGAACTTTCATAGCAAATTTCAGGCAAAGTTGGACCCTTCGGTCTTCTAGCGTAGGTAAGTCCAGCGTTGCACATGCCTCGGGGTATGAAGTATAAGCTGACCCGAGTATTACTCGACACGCGCGTTTCTGGATATACTCGATCCTGTGACGTTGTCTGGTAGTCAGTCCAGGATGCCAGGTGGGCGCCGCGTATTCACAGCTCGGACGGACAAACGTTTTGTAGCAGGTAAGTAAGTCATCCCTAGAATGGCGTTCTAATCGAAATGTCCCCCTGTGACGTAAGCAGTTCATGCAATCAATGAAAGCTACAGGTAAACTGGACTATTATAAGCGTATCAATATCAATAAAATTCCAACCAAAAAGGTGACATTTGCAGTTTGAAAGCAAACTCATTGACATTGTGTTTACCTCCACATGCATGGTCTAGCCAAACAAACTACTGCTCTGTTTGTCCTTCCTCAAAGTGAAATAAATTTATATGTGTGTAAGCAGGCTCTCTATCTCTGGTCTGCTGCATAATGTAACCCAACACCACAGGGTGTTGCTACAGCACCAGTTACCATGGTGACAGACGTCTGGTTCAGGTCATCAACTTTATTTGTTAACACAAGAAGAAGAAACTGAGCAAAACCAATATAAATTTTCCTTTTGTGAAGGTAAACATATCAATACTCATATGTGGTATAAAAATATGATATTGACATAAAAGAAGACGGTTGCTTTACAACAATATATTATCAAGCAGATATAGAGAGGAAATTATGGCAGGCAGAAAATACAGTCCCAATATTTGCTTGAAGATAAGATAAGAAAATCTTTTTAATGTTGCTGTTGTTATTGTTTTGGATTTGAGAACATTTTCCAGACATCTCCTTGCATATTAATGTGACTTACAATAGATAAAGTATTCTAAAAAAAAGTGCGCATGTGCAGTCGCGATGCATTGTGGTCTGAGGGGGAATCCCCTGACTGCAAACAAAGCATGACCTTCAACTTTGACCTTAGACCACAATGCATCACGACCACACAAACACACGCGGAACTGTAAAATGAATAATAGTTTGTTTCTATATCAAAGTTTTATAGCAGACGACTATAAAAATATGTAAAAACTCCCACCTTCATCACGCCAATAAACAGCAAAATATCGATGATGATGCCCACAGAGTAGATGGCGATGTTTACAGCATCAGAGACCGCTAGGGGATTACAAAGAAATAATAAAGATTATAAAGAAACAGTAAAAAAACATTAGTGAATCGAAGAAGGAGAGGAAGAAACTGAGTAAAAACAAATATGTTTTCCTTCGGTAAACATAACTACATATGTGATATTATACATGTCACGAACTTAGCATGCGGGGGAAAGAGAGGTTACTTACGCACGGCCCCGTCCGTGGTGCTAACGATGTTTTTGGCAGCGGAGGCGATGCCAGCGATCTGCATAGTCTGCGGAACAGAGAGACATGAATTAAAAATTAGATATCTTGAAAGTTCATCTGTGTTGGTAGAAGTCATTATGCAGCAAGTTTAAACTGTAATTTCCAACACAAGGAATTGGACGCACCCAAATTTTCGACTGTACAACACGTCACGGAAGCGGTGGATTGTTCATTCCTTGACAAAGACTGGAGTTGTTCAGTCGAAAATTTGGGTGAGTCCAATTTCTTGTGTTGGAAATTACAGTTTAAACTTGCTGCATAATAAAATTAGATAAGGCCACACCGACTTAATTTTTATGGATGACATCCTCTCAAGACCCCCAAACTAGTGCGCATGGGCGGATAAAAATCGCCAAATAAACTGGGGTGTGCCCCCTTAAAACTTACCATCCAGGTACTGGCGATCCAGTAGCAGCCTACCCGGAGCGAACAGCAACCGCAGCAGCAATGCTGCAAAATCGCCATCGTAAAAAGCGCCGCCTGGCAACAGAGGAACAACCTGCAGAAGAGATGATGTTGAAATGGAATAACTGAAAGGTTTGATGTGTATGTTTGCAATGAAATGTAGAATTTTGGTTTTTTTATAAACGAGAGCGTGTACTTCTAAAGCAGTTAAACACACACAAACAGTCGTATATACATACACAGAGACATGGAAAATATATGCATGCATATGCACAGCAAAATCGCGCGCACACACGCACACACGCATACGCGCACAGAGAGACAGAGGGAGAGAGTGTGTGTGTGTCTGTGTGCCTGTGAGAGAAAGTGTGCGTGTGTGTGTGCTTGTGTGTGTGTGTGTGTGTGTGTGTGTGTGCTTGTGTGTGTGTGTGTGTGTGTGTGTGTGTGTGTGTGTGTGTGCATGCATGCATGTGTGTGTTTGTGTGTGTTTGTGTTTGTGTGTATGTGTGT